CTGGGGTTGCCCCAACCCAGGTGCAGGACCTAAAGCTTTTTGTTTGAGGATGTACATGTGAGCACAAATTGAAACAAACATTTAGCTTACATCACAGAAATAGTTAAAACCCCAAAGGAAAGTATCTGTGCAGGTACCTGAAAGTGTAGTTTCCAGGAACAAGGTTAGACAAGTGCAAGACAGGCGTGTCAGCAGATGCCTTCTCTTCTCTCAAAGGACCTTTAATCTCCTCCCAGTGGTAACTCACTATCTTCATATCATCTATACTTTCTACATTCGTTAAAGAAAAACAGATCAGTTTCTTGTGGCAATTGCTGGAATGAACACTAAAGGTTTTCATTCACTGATCCTTCACTGTTTTTTCTACAATTATCTTTTCAAACATATTTGATCAGGGTTCGTGTACCACAGCTGTTAAACCACAGATTCCAAGTTACATTTGGGATGGTTTCTCTAAACACAAAAAATTCTTCACACACACCACCAACAACAAAAAACAATCAATTTCCGACTCTGCACATTCCAACTTGCCTGCTCTCAGTAATTATGAGTATAATTATGACATCTCATCATACCCCACATGACAGCTTTCTACCATGGCCCCAGCTGTACTGGCACAGAGGTCTTTGGGGCAGGGCAGGAAGAAGCTGTAAGCTGTTTGGATGCAGCAGCCCCTGACACACTGCACTTCAGTCTCCAAGTGGAAGGCTGCATTTTATCACTTGCTTATTTATTAAAATGTTTTAGAACTGGACCTAAATCCCCAAAACAAATCATGATTCAGGGAACTCCCAAATAGAGTGAGAAGAAAGAATTTCACTTGTAATTGACAAATGTCCTGGTTTTCAGCTGGGACAGAGCTGGGTTTGTTTTTAGCAGTCAGAACAGCGCTGGGGTTTGGGTTCAGCTGGGATTTGTTATGAGAGGAACACTGAGAACACACCAGCGTGTTCATTTGTATCGCTGGGAGTGAAGGACTTTGTGTTTGTCCATCTGCAAGTGCAAGATCTAAGGTGTGTGAAGAATATTTAAACTAATAAGCTAAACTGGCATTTGGCTCTGCCACGGGGCTGTTCCATCTCCTGTCCCCCATGGGCAGGAGATCCATGAGGGACTCTCCCTCTCTTGCTCTCTCTGGCTTTGGCTCGGGCTCTGGCTCTCCAGGATTGCGGTTTCGGGTCGGGATTGTCGCTCCTCCGGGATCGTGATCTGGGAACAGGCCGGGCTTGGTCTGTGCATGGTGACCAATTGCTCTGGGTATCACTCATTTGCATAATTTACTACTACTACTATTATCATTACTATTTTAATATCAACATTATTTTAAGTTTTTCTTTTATTTCAATTATTGGATTGCTCTTATCTCACCCTTGGCCCCCATTCCTCTTCCCTCTCCCCTGTCGGGGGGAAGGACTGAGTGAACAGCTGTGTTTGGCTGCTTGGCCAAGTGAAACCACCACAATAAACAATAACAATATAATTGTATATTAAAAATACAGGATGGAAGCACAGGATGGCCCAGTACATACGACTGCCATCAATGAAGGTCGATGTTGTTGGCAAAGAAACTTCTTGTACTTTGGGTGAAGCGACAGCAACAGGAGGCTGGTTAATTCTGATTGCTGTGAGAAAGACAGGGCAGGAGGGGGAAAAAGAAAAATAAAAATAGTGAAAGCCCAGACAAAACTAATGTGTTAACTCTAAAGAACAACAGTCTTTGGTGATCTAAATCTTGGATTGATAGCTTTGCAGCATCCACTGTCTTCCTTGGACAATCACAGAACCACAGAATGTTAGGGATTGGAAGGGACCTTGAAAGATCATCTCAACTCTACCTCCTTAAAACACTTTATAGGCACCGAGGTATGAAACGCCTCTGCATGTCTGGACTACCAGATGTCCTCGACAGATCATAGAATCACAGAATGGTTTGGATTGGAAGGGACCTTAAAGCTCATCCAGTCCCAACCCCCCTGCCATCAGCAGGGACACCTTCCACTAGACCAGGTTGCTCAAAGCCTCATCCAGCCTGGCCGAGAACACTTCCAGGGAGGGGGCATCTACAACTTCCTTGGGCAACCTGTTCCAGTGTCTGACCACCCTCACAGTGAAGAACTTCTTCCTAATATCTCATCTAAACCTCCCCTCTTTCAGTTTAAACCCATTTCCTCTTGTCTTGTCATTAGTTGCCCTTATGAAAAGTCCTTCCCCAGCTTTCTTGTAGGTCCCCTTCAGGTATTGGAAGGCCGTAATTGGAAGGCAGATAGTAACTGACAGACTAGTCGATAGCATGTTCTACAACTACTTGTGTTGAAGAAATTAAATTTTGTTATTTTAGCCAACTGATTTACCTGGTTTGACCGTGACATTTACAAAACCTTCACCAAAGGCATTTTCTCCAGAAACCGTCACTTTGAAGGCGTAAAGTCCCACTGACAACTGAGACAAACACAGAACAAACCGAGTTAATTATGCAACAGCAATACACATCAAGCTGTCAATCATATTGTTAACAGAGAAAAGTCTGGGTATCTGAAACCTAGAGCTCCTTTTATAAACACACACACAAAAGGCCACTAGTCACTGCCTAGAAGTGGGGAACACAAAGCAAACACTTAGGAATTTTAACTCCATTTTAGGAAATTATTAGAGCACTCTGAAAAAAAAAGAGACACTTCTAATCTGGCCAAGATTTGGTGACACATTCAAGATGGCTCTGGTAGTCATTTGAACTCCTTGAGTCAAGGTGCCCTTCCTTATAGGCTTAGATTCCTGTGATAGGACCACACAAACTAAGCTGAGCTTAGAGCCCACTTACATGAGAGAGCTTCAAGGTCTGGCTGTGCCTGCGCTCCATTTCACCACCATAGTCAGGAGGGTGACTGACTAAGCTCCACTCATAGGTGTAGGCTGTTTCTAAGAACAGTAACACAGCACAAGAGTCATCAGGTTTGCCTTCAAGATAAGCCCAGCAAACAAAAGATTCAAATTCACCATCCATCAGATAAAATGCTACAGGAGGAAATCATGACTGCTACTGTTTGAGCCTGCAAAATGAAGCAGTACAAATACATGTTAGACTTCCACAGTGTGCTAGGACTTGGGAAAGCAGCAAGGATGTAGTGGACTTCACAAAAAACAGCTTCATGTGAAGTGGCCGTGTTTTTACATAGCTACCTATGAAATGTGCATTCTTTGCTGCTGCAGCTTAAAAAAAAAAGCTGGTAGTTTTAAGATAAATGTTGCATCCAGAACCTACTTTCCCCCCAGCTTTACAGCAAGATCACCTGGGCCACATCATCTTTTGTCAGGAACTACAGGCTTTCTATTGAACCATTTGGCTAATGAGTTTAGGTTCTGAAAATAAAAGCCACTTAAAAAAAATTAAAATCTCTAAATCCAAAGGTGGAAATCCTCTCTGTAGTTGGAGCCACAAAAAAGGTAGTTGTAGGAGATGAGAAAGATGGTTTTATCCTGAGGTGCAGATATTCACATAAGTCAGGACTTGTCTGCATTTACAAGCTGGTAGTGTCTGCATCTCCTTGTAGGCCAAGGCCATTCAACTCACCTGTCAGCGGTGGTGGGACAGCAAAGGCATTCAGTTCAACCTCGTTTTTGGGAAGTATCACTTGTATGTTATCTCCAGCAGATACAGTAAGTTCTTTCACAGTATCTAAGACAGAATGAGTACATTATGTTTTAAAAGATGGGATGGATATAAATTCAGCACCTTCAAATATTATTTGTAATGAATTGAGTAAAATCTGACAAACACTCTACAGTGAACAGTCAAGGATAAGTAAAAAAAATAATAAATTCCTCAATACATAAATCAAATAACAATCTGTTATAATTATGACTATGCCTCCTTCACCTTTTACCACACCAAAATTTTTCTTCCACCCCAAATATGAAGTGTCATTTCCCCTACTTCTGTTCTAGAGAAAAGCAGGAATTCAAAAGTATGCAATGACAGAAGACAAAAGAGCCACATGCACCAGAACAGACCTCATCAAATAAAGTAACACAGCCCGTACCAGAACTCCAGTATCACGCTTTCTTCCACCAAGAAACACTATTTGTATGTTTGTGTGGCACTTGTGAGGCACATCTCAATGTTCAGCTTGGTGTCCTTTTTAAAAACTCCACGTGTATAGCAGGGCAAAGGTGTTATTTTGTAGCTGAACTGCACATTCAATATATCTTCCACACAGAAATACCCTCCTAGTTCTCATCTTTGAAAACTCCTTACTCTTCCAAAAATGCCAAAGCCCACAAAACCTGTCCCCAGGAGAAACCTACCAAAACATAACTTCAGGAAAGGTTCCCACAGACCTGTATTTCAAAGGTTTTAAATGTCTTCCTTTTAATAGGAGGAACCCACAGAATAAAGGTTCTCCAAAGGCAACATTCATGATGTCCAACTTACAACTTCTGAATACAGGTGAGCAAGAGGCTGCTCAGCAGTGGCAGTTGACAGGTCTAAAAATGGATGAAGAGGTCACACTGACAGCACACCTTCTGTCACTGCTACTTAAATGCACCCAAGGCTTCATCATTGCTCCTGGGAGTTGCCCTAAACACCACTGGAGGGAACTTTGTGCTTCCAAAAATCCTTTGACCTCCACATGAGATGAGAATAAAACATCTAGATGAGGGTGACAACCAAAGGTGAGAAGGAGGGATTGTCTTCGAGACTCCCAAGACAGTAGGGCTGAGCACACAAACTCAAGCTAATCCTTGCACAAAGCAGTACTTACTGTGAGACTCATCACAACCTTCACTTCAGCTTCCTCCAAGCTCCTTTATGAGTCCTCTTCAGCCTCCTCCTATGAAGGAGGAGGAACAGCTGCCTAGTCAGCATTCAATGGAAGCAATGATCCATTGCCTTGGAGAGGGGCCTCTTGTAGCTCACCTCTCCCCCTTACCTCCAACCACTATCCTGGCTGGCACATTGCAGTTTGGCAGAGGGTGCTAAGAATGTCCCAAACCAGACTTCCTCTCCCAGGAAGCAAAGGGCTTATCTCTCCATATCCCTCAGCACAGCAGAAGTGCAGAATACCACACATCTGTGCTCCTCTGCTTCTTGTGGCCCTTCTAACCTTTTGTCAGGGTGCACAGGGAGGAAGGAAACTCGGTAGGAGAAAGGAGATACCTTAACATACACACAGATTTTAACACAGCTACAGAGGACAGTGGTTAAACATGTCCTTCTCAAAATAAAAACCTTTGCTCTGCAGCTGGAAGCCTGACAAGCTTCCTCACATATATTGCTGCATGATATTGAACAACTAGATACGGTGGAAACTCTACTGAAGAGTTTCTGAGAGAGAGTAACGTTCTGAAGAGTCACACAAAAATAACATTATGACCAGATGAGGCTATTCTAAACCTCCAGAAAGCTCCAAGTATTTCTCACTAAGTAAAAAAAAGCTTAAGCAGATTTAAAAAAAGGCTTTTAATCTCTGCTTTTTCCTTCGCTGCTTTTGCTCGAGTTATAATTTCCCATTAAGGATGGATTTGGTCAGAGTTTTGTCTCAGAAGTAACTGGCTACGTGGTCTAGAGTTTGCTGTGGTACTGTAGGTACACACGCTTGAAGTGGGATGATGTTATGTCTGGATAAAGAGCGAGCTCATAACTAACAACAGGTTGGAAGTCCAACAGTAGCAGATCCATCCCTGTCAACTGTCCAACCAGCAGGTATCCCTCAGATCTCCAGCTCTGGTGAAACATTACCTGCTTTAGCAGCAGCAGCAGGAGGTGGTGTGAACTGCTGCATGGGCTCAGGTGACACCGTACTCGTGGGAACCAGCATGATTCCACCACCTTCAGCAACATTCTCTGGGGCCACTGTGGAAATCTGGGTTTTCTCTGAGACACCTGGGGAGAAATCCAGTTTGTCTGAAGAAGGGGAAGGTGTAGCAGCCTGAAAAAAATTAATTACAAAGAAAGAGTTGCTTTAAGTGAGCCATTTCTCACCTTTCTAGATTGAGACCTACACATAGGGTGATCCCACTGACGGATGTTACCAGGGCGTTTTGTTCATACACAGAATATCCACCAAAGGAGGAAGGAGGACTGGTTTGGGGTTTCTGTTTGGCTGATTTCTCCCCACACCCCACCATCAGGCTTTGTAAGAAATGCTAATCATTTTCCAGGTTTCAGATGTAAAACAGGGCAAGCTCATGTTGAGCTGCTCATCCCTCAGTGCCCCCAACTCCTTCTCCTTGGAGCTGGTCTCAAGCCACTCATGGCCCAGCCTGTATTTATGTTTGGGGTTGCCCTGACCCATGTGCAGGACCTTGCGTTTGGCCTTGTTGAACTTTGTATTGCTCAGCTAACTTCTTCTAGTCACGAAGGGTCAGAAGGGAAGAATACCATAAGATTCCTATCACACCGGGTCCAAGCCCACTCATATGTACACTTCCAAGGAAACCCCACTGTCCCAAAAGGAGGTCTGCACCTTATCATCTGAGAGAACAGAGTCCTTTAGTGATTAATCTGCCTATTAAGAGAATCCTCTCCCCTTCAGCCTTTTCTGCACCATAATAGGACTGCAAGGCATTTGAGTGACCTTACAAAGCAATAAGCTAATTTGATTTGGAAAACAAAGCAATTTCAAAGTGGCCTGCCTGCTTCCCGAGGGGCACACCTACCTCTTTTTGCAAAGCATCACTGGGTTGTGCACCAAGCTGAACAGCCACTTTGCTTTCAGACGTCTTCCCAGGGAACGGTGTAACCTCTGGAAGAGATGACAACATCTCTACAGAGTATTCAGTGACAGAGTTCAGTTCAGAGCTGTTTTTATTCCGAAGGCTTTCCACCTTCTCAGCCTCCTCTTTCTTTTCAGCAAAGTCCTCCTGGTTATCTCCACCATCACCCACTGAAGAGTTGAAGTCGTTTTCACCTGCCACCATCAGGCCCCAGTCAGCATAATCCGTGCTCCCCTTCCGCTCATGTTTGATGCTCACCTGAAAGGGGTCCTGCTCCAACTCTTTATAATCATCAATGTATTCGGGTAATTCCTCCAGGCTGGGATCTTTACCAAGCAGAGACAACTCCTTCAAGCTACTCACTTCCTCAGACGGCTCATTCTGGAGTCCCACAGAGTGGACCATGCTCGGGATGACTTGCCCAAATCCTAGGAGCGAGGCTGGCCTCTGAGAAGGCCTCAGCACAAAAGTGAGATAGGACTTTACAGTTTCAATTTTTTTAGGTTCACAATTCTCTTTGTGTTGGCAGTTCACGATGTAGCAGCGTCGTTCAAACATCCAGGACAAGTCACAACCAGAGAGGTCACAACACGCTGCGATGCAGTCAGACACTGACACAGCATGAGGAACTCGCATGATTTTAGTGGTTTCTAAGTTAGGAGATATTACTGCACCCGAGTACGTGGCTCCTTCTCGGCACTGCTCACAACTGGAACCTGAAACAACACCACCAACATAAGGCACGACATTATAACCAAGCCCTAATATGGTTTATTGTGACTAAAAATGGCTTATTGTGGGAGACAAGATAAAGACAGGTGGTACCCTGCTTAAATAAACTCATTTCCTTTCACTAACATCACCACTGCAGCATGTCCCCTTGCAGTGGTATTTGTACTCTGGAGGATTTTCCAGTGTAGGATCTGGATATGTTTTACAAAGAACCTCTTACTCCCTTCCTACAAATACACAAAGAGATTAAAGTGAGTTGCCAATACTTTTAAAACAAGGACACAGCAGGGAACATGAAAAATAATGATGGCATCCCTCCATTACCTGCTCTGGCAGGGGGGTTGGACCAGACGATCTCCAGAGGCCCCTTCCAACCCCCACCATTCTGTGATTACTCCCACAGCATGGTGAGCAAAACATGTTTTAAAAGAAAGCTCAAATAAGATGCTGTCACACGTCTTTATTTCATTTGAGGGAGAAGGCAGCAAAAATCCACATTGGAGAAACTCTTGATCTTCATGAAATCCCTCACATTAAGATAATTGCTGGGCTTTAATATAAAAACTGGATCAAATTGTCAAACTTTTGCTGCTTTAACCATTAGTTCATGTCAAATCCCAAGAGGCTTGTTTCAGGAGCATCTTTCCTACCTTTGCAGCAAAACTGTAATCTTTTAATATGACATCAGAATTATTTTCACAGCACTTCACAGACTGAGTGTGAAGGGTGTACATCAAGCGTGAATCAACACAGAATATACATCAATCGATTTTTAACATCTTTTCTAGGTGGTTTTTTCCTGGTTATAGCTTAAACCTCCTCCCTCCAAAATGCAAATTGAAAAATCCGATCATGCTTCAAAAAAACCAGTTGAGTAAAACCAGGACATTCTTCTTAACATGGTTTTCAACTTGACTTGCTAACTCAACCAGTGAAAACAAGATGTCACCACTGTGGAGCTAACACAGTAACAGAAGACAAAGTTGACTCTGCCTGCCTTGCAGGCCAGTAACAAAGGTGTCAGTTGAGTTCACAGTAGCATATGACAGGAGAAAAAGAAAAAGGCAGCTTGATTAACAGATTCCAGCTCAAATCTGTCAAGCTGATGGGCAGGGAAAATGAAATCAAGGAGTAGGAATAGGCTGGCAATTTGGGCAAGGTCTGACCATGACTTTGGAGATGCAGAGATTCTCCTACACATGCAGTGTGTCCAACCACCGCACCACCGTTCCCACCACACCTTCTGGGCTGGACTGCAGTACACTCCTTCACAATCCAGTAGCTGAATACAGCTCCTGAAACACCTGTGGGGCATCATACTGCCTGGGATGAAGGTACAGCTTGCAAAGTAGGTTAAGTTCGATGCAAAAAACCAAAATCAAACAAAAAAAAAACGGCACCATGCACTCTGGGATAGAGAGGACAAGACTTTATGACTGCTGTGCAGAGCTGGCTATGCTGGATGAGGAAAAACATGAAACAACAACAGATTTTAAAGATCAGTGACTTGCTAATAGGTACAGCTGAACAGGAAGCTGACAAAAAGGATAAACAGCTTCAAGGACCATTTTTCTGACTCCTTCACACAGAGCTGGGATTCTGTTTACTCTTCCACTTATGCTTTCAGTGAAACATGGATTTAAAACAACCTATCCTGTTCTAGCACAGCCCAGACATGAAGTGGCTTTATCTGCACCCAGGAGATGCTCAGGTTTTGTGCATTTTTTTCTTTCACATCCTCTTCATTTCCTTTCACCTCCGAGAACATAAGACCCTGGCAGACTCTGAACTGTCATCACAAGTCTTTCCTTTAAGTTGCACAAGGGGCAATGAGCACAAACTGGAACACCAGAAGTTCCAGACAAACTTCAGGAAAAACTTCTTTCCTGTGAGGGTGTTGGAGCCCTGGGACAGGCTGCCCAGAGAGGGTGTGGAGTCTCCATCTCTGGAGATGTTCAAACCCTCCTGGACACTTTCCTGTGTAACCTGGTGTAGGGACCCTGCTTTGGCAGGGGGTGGATGATCTCCTGAGGTCCCTTCCCACCCCACCATTCTGTGATTCTGTATTTATCCCAGTCTGAAATCCTGCAAGGACAACTATCCACTTGTGGGATTGTCTGTTTCTTCTCCCTAGCAGCAAGCAGTACAACAAGCAGAAAGAAAGGGCAAGAGGGAGTGTGTAACAGAAGAACAGAGCTCAGACTCAGACCTTATCATAGAATGGTTTGGGTTGGAAGGGACCTTAAAGCTCATCCAGTTCCAACCCCCCTGCCATCAGCAGGGACACCTTCCACTAGACCAGGTTGCTCAAAGCCTCATCCAACCTGGCCTTCAACACTTCCAGGGAGGAGCAGCCACAACTCCCTTGGGCAACCTAAACTTCCTTGGGCAACCTTGCACCAAGAGAAGTCACATTTGACCAGAATCACCTCCCATGACCTTCTGGCTGAGAGCACAGCACTGAGAGCTCATGTGGCACACTGTTCTCACAGCCTCTGAACTACATGGGCACAGAAGGTCCTAACAGCAGTTTCCTACAGGATGAGTAGGACTGTCTCTGCTTTCTTGACATCTGCTCCCTCCACTCTCTTTAAGCAACAAATTAGTTCCATTCTATTTTTAGGGTTTTTTTTTTGATCTATCCAAGTAACTTGTACCTCATTTCGGTGAGCTTTGAGAGGACAGGTGTGTACATTAGTCAGAAATCACTTTTGGTTTTTGTAGCACCATAACAACACATTGAAACAATTTTAATAAGGTTCTAAAAGCAAAATAAAAGTAACTTTGTTTTTTAAATTGCAGTCATCTAAAAGAACTTGATCTGCAATTCTCAAGCTACAGACAATTTCCGCAGCAGAGTTATACACCCCTAAAAAGCACGTTTTATATCATAAATGCTGAAAAAGGCTTAGGCTCCAGTAGCTTTGCTAAGGGCCTATAGAAAGTACTATCTTAAAAACCCGAAAAGCCATATTACTGGGAGCTTCTCCAGTATCTGAAATGTCACTGCATCAGTTCCTCTAGCAACAGCTACCATCTCCATACACCATCAATGTGTTTTCACCCTGTTTCTGCAGGCTGCTTTTAGGTTATTTGGCATTTTCCTCCCTTTCCCTGAAATCTCACAGGTCTTTAAACAGGGATATAGCTCAGGATACCAAGGTGCTCTTTTGGGCCTCAGTAAGGATGCTGACTGCAGATTAAGCACTGCAAAGGGAGGAGAAGGAGAACAAACGAGACAAAATGCTCAGTTACATAAAAGCAAATCCTCAACACAAAGTTGAAGACAATAGTATTCTAGATACATCTACAAACAAGAAGCTGCAAAGCTTTCATGTCCCCTACAGCAGCCTTCATGACGTTCATCATTCACTCCTTGTGCTCTGGATCTGTCACAGCTCCCTCATTAGTTCAGTGGGCCTGATGTTCCTTTCCAAGTATTATTTGTATTCCATGAATTGTTATTATCCCTGTTTGTCACTGATAAATCAACTAAGGGCTATTCAAGGCAGAAAAAAACCCCAAAAGCATGGACAATGTGAACTAACCTGGCACGATGCATAACTCCCTATGATCTCAGAGATCATAATCAGGCACTACACCACCCTGTCTCTCTGAAAAGACCTGTGTGAACCAGAACACATCACTAGAGCATTTAGCCACGGCAGTTGCAAAGAATGATCTGGGACTCCAGGCTAGTGGTTTGTTCCAGTGTCATTTCAAAGGTGTATCTATGTCCTTTGACACTCCTGGTCTGTGTTTCATGCGTTAGCTACACGGAAAGAATCACAGAGTCACAGAATCACAGGATGTCAGGGATTGGAAGGGACCTCGAAAGATCATCCAGTCCAATCCCCCTGCCAGAGCAGGAACCTAAATGAGATCACATAGAAAAGAGTATTCATCTTATCCTTCAAAGTACAAGACCAGCAGTAGTGATATATGTTGAAAATTGATGGCTTGTAACGTATTTAGAAACATCCTCCCCCGGAGTAAAGAAAGGGATAGTGGTGATGTCTGGCAAAGACTCTGGGAGGTCACGTAAGGTACGGCTGGGCTGCATGGAGGTAAGAACAGGAGACCAGACTGCACAAGAGCTCTGACTGCACTTACCTGCCAATTCATTTTTGTTGGAGTGGCTAATCTCAGAACAAAGCACCACAGTATGAACACATACTATGAGAAAACTGAGAATCAGCCAGGAGAACGCTATTATATTTACTGAAATGCGTTTCAATAGCATTATTTTGCAAGGTCTACCTCAATAGCCAGATTAGAATATGCCTCCTTAAGATGTGAGCTAGACTGAGTTGATTCCAAGGTGTTAGATTCCCAGTTGCAAAGTAAACTGTTGTTTCTGTGGTGGAAAGCAATGTCTTCTCTCATGAGGAAAAAAAAATATAAAAATTCAACATATGGTCATTGTACAGTCAACATCTCATACACTGAGCCTGGGCTCATACCTGCCCAAGACAAGGAGCTGGAAGAGCAAATGCAGCACATGTTTATTCACAGACTCTGCAGTAGCTGCTGTTACCATTCAGAAGAAGATGCAGATCATGGCAAAACAGTTAGAAGTTTATGCCAGGGACATTTGTTTCGGGGAGTTTTACACTTTTGACAACCTCCAGATCTGATCCCGTGGGCTGAATGGTCATGAGCAGCTGGACACCATGGAGGAGCTGCTGCAGTATCTTCCAGCATGGTTCTATCCCAAAGAACTGGATGATCTTTAAGGTCCCTTCCAACCCAAACCATTCTATGATTTACAAAAGGCATACTTATTATCTACCACAGCAACAAAAACTTCAGCTCCATGTTCTCCTCAAAGAGCTTGGAACGATTTGATCCTCAGGATGATCTTGAGGACTACTTCAAACCAGCTACAAGCAGAGCTGCAGTTAATGCCCATCCCTCCTCATCCAACATTTCCAAATCCAGTAGTCAGTTTAAGCCTCAGCACATTAGCAAGGCTCTCCCTCATTAACCAGACAATCCTGTTTATACTACAGGAGATGAAAGCCAGGGAACCAAGTATTATTTTCCCCAATTCCTCCTAATATAGATACTGCCAGTCTCTCCACAGCCAGAATTCAAACATTGTTTGCATATATTCTGTAGGTGCCATGTCAAAACTGCCTGCACCAGATTAAGTCTCCCTGTGACACAGGGGAAGTATTAAGAATCACTATCATTCTTTATCTGCCTGCTTATGGAAATAATTTACCTATCTCTGTGGCTGAAGTAGAAACCTACAGGATTTTCCTGTCACCCTTGAAAGGAAATACGTGTCTGTAGGGGGGATGATGAAGAGAGAGACGTAAAGAAATCCATTTATGCTTCTTGCAAATCAACATTTGTGTAACATTTCAGAAGAAAAAAGGCAGCTTAGAACACAAGAAATACATCAGTCTTAAACTGCAAGAGAAAGAGAAGGAAAACTATTTGAACTCTCCCACTACCCCCCTCCTGCCCCAGGCATCTCCCCTCAAACAGCCTTATGGAAACTGGCTCCAGTCAGCTACTCACAACTGGAACCACCTGCCATTTCTGAAGCTGAACCTTCCCAGAACTGTTTGCACTGAGGAGGCACAAGATTTCCCAGCTCTTGCCTTATTCATGTTTCATTCCCACCAGCGTACAGGCTGCAGGAGTATTGGCTTCACTTGTTCTACATGTGACTCAGAGACACAAGAAGTAAACTCCTACCTGTTATCGCCCACAGTAACATGCAGAGAACACCAAGTCCAAACGCCATGCTGCACCAGGAAGGCAATGACAATGGCTTTTCCAACCAGCTGCGTGGAAATTATAGGTCTCAACGTTGGTTTCCTCTAATGACTGTTTAGAACTCTGCTGTGGCCGTGAAGCACTGCAACAGACAGCACAGGAATAAAAAATAAGGTCAGATGTGAGCATTAATTAAAACATCACAGTAAAAGCCAACAGACAGGTTAAATGCAGCTTTTATTATCACTTCCTGACTTCTTGATGGATGACACAGTAGATCAGGTAAGCTGAAGATACAGAATAAATTACCTACATGGAAATTAGGTTGCCCAGAGAAGCTGTGGCTGCTCCTCCCTGGAAGTGTTGAAGGCCAGGTTGGATGAGGCTTTGAGCAACCTGGTCTAGTGGAAGGTGTCCCTGCTGCTGGTAGGGGGGTTGGAACTGGATGAGCTTTAAGGTCCCTTCCAACCCAAACCAGTCTGGGATTGTGATTCTATGATCTCATCCTCTAGAGATACAGAAATGTCCCAGAAAGTTCTGCAAGCTTGGGCTCCTGTACATCAAAACCCACAAATACTCTGTCTGCAGTTATCCAGACCCTAGCTTTGCTCTGACTTTAAACAGAAATTAGTTTAACTTAACTGAGGAATCACAGTCAGTATCATCTGTGCTAAAATCCATGCAGTGTGAAGTCAGCTCTTGAGGCAGCCCTGCAGCTATTCTCTCACAGCTACCAAGGTAATGAACCACAAAATGGTGGGGATTGGAAGGGATCTCCAAAGATCACCCAGTCCAACCCCCCTGCCAGAGCAGGATCACCCACAGTAGGTCACACAGGATCATGTCCAGGTGGGTTTGAACATCTCCAGAGATGGAGACTCCACACCCTCTCTGGGCAGCCTGTCCCAGGGCTCTGCCACCCTCACAGGAAAGAAGTTTTTCCTCATGTTTACATGGAAAACACAAGCAGACACTTCTCCAGAATTTCTAGGGAGATGTTTCTTGACAGGATACTGAATTCTCCAAATAAGGCAGCCTAAGCAACAAAAAGGTCTAATGAGGAAGGAATAGTTCAAAGCAACATTACTCATGGAAGGAAAAAAGTTTAGGCAAACTCACAACTCCCTCCACATAAAGGATCCTGAGTAGACGCCTGACTAAAAAACACTCCTGTGAATGAAAACACAGGCAGCACTTTTTTTGGAGAATAGTCCTTCCCAAAGCAGAGCATCCCAGTCAGTTCCCTCTGATGTTCATCACACTGATCCCATTCCAAAAAAGCCACATCCTTCTGCTTGAACACTGTGACACTGAACGATGGTTACCTATCAAGTCTGGAGTAAAAGCCAAACATCAGCCAAGCTAAAACAGGTAACAGGGAATCCTGAGGCACCACATCCTCGCAACAGCCAAGGTAGAGACACCAGAATAAACCGCTTGTGTGGAGACACCAGTGCTGTGAACAAGCTACAAGATGAACGAAGCGTGTGCAGAAGAAAAGCTCAACTAAAGGACACAGCGAGGAAGACGATCAACGGCCACCAGAGGAACCCCAAAGGCCACCAAGAGACTCCAGTGTGCGTGCAAAAAAGGACATTTACATGTATTAACGAGTTCCTGGAAATGTAAGGAATATGTTAATAATTTCCTGGAATGGTAATGAATATGCACGTTTTGAGAGGATAAAGCTTTTGTAGAGGGATGAGTCTGTATGCGTGATGGGTGGAAGGATCCCCCGTGCATCCGGCACCGCAATAAATGATGTCGGCTTCTTCAGACTGCGCTGGTGTTACCAAATTCCTTCCCAATTTTGGTGACAACATGACTTGGCAAAGGTAATGAATTCCATATTTCAGCTATGCCTTCGATAGAAATGCTGCTAACTGGCTGCTGGTGGCAGCTTCCTTACCAGACAAGTTTTATATGACGAAAGACCATCTTGCTGTCTTCTCTTGCAAAGGGAAGAAGGAGTCACCTAGACATGCTACTCTTGCTAAAGCTGAACAAACAAGAGTAGGAACCCCAGCAACTCAGCAGCTGAGCATCTGCTCTCTGAGAACGGATCTTTTATAGATGGCATTTCTGTAAATCACAGGAGCAACTGGACCCTGGTCTTCAACTTTTGCTTCTCTGGCTGACCAATAAAGCCCTACAAGGGAAGAAGGTGGGCAAGGGCAATGGGCCCAAGGAGCTCAGGGAACAAGGTAAGGTGTGACTGATCACAGCTTTTGCAAAGCAAGTCATGTATTTCATAGAATCATAGGATCATTAAGGTTGGAAAGAACCTCCAAGAGGATGAAGTCGACCTCCAAGAGGATGAAGTGGCCCTCAGCATTGTGCAGGCAGTGATCTCCAGGTGAAAACAGGTTGTTTCTTGAGCCGTTCCAGCTGAAGCCACTAGCACACACCTGCCCACGCTGATCATCTCTACATTGATTCCAATACATTATTCTGATTATTTTTATTTCCTGCTTTATTTCAGAACATTCAAACTAAAGCAGAGAGCCATATGGAGCATACAGATTTTTTTATCAACTTAATCTTTCAACAGTTTTTGGAATGTTTCTCTTGCTTTTGAGAATGAGTACAGAGGAACATACACAGGATGGACAACCTAAGAAGTATTTCCAAGTTATTAACACATACACCCCAAATGTGCCAGCAGACTGAGGGGGGGGGGGAAAGACTGTAAGTCCATAATGTCACACAGGCTCTTTTTCCTGTTTCTATGGAAATCTGTCTAGATTTGGAAGAGATGTTAGCCACCAAAAACTGATTCGCAGAAGAGTTTATTACTGAAAGTCAAGGTCTCTGAGATATTGTGCATTTGCTGTAACCTTCGCTAATTCCCAGCAGCAGCCAAACAGACCAGATGCCCAAGAGAGACTTTCAGTCCTTTAGCCTAAGGAAAAAAAAGCATCAGGCTCAGTATCAGAACATCATGAGGTCAGAATTAACCCTAATCAGAAGGCAGAAAAGTAATTTTGTTTATTTTATAGGCCTTTTTCCTTTGCAAGGCCAACTTCACTATCTCACTGCCACTAAAAGGAGACAAGTGACAGCTTCTGCACACTACAGGAGAGCTGACTGAGGAGACCACGATTACTTCGAGCAACACCAAGAAAAACACTGAGAAACCACGCAAAAGATGCAGATTTTTGCAGCATCACTTGTCCTGAGTTCAGAAACACGAGTCCATGGAGCAAATGGGGTCAGGGAGGTGTGTGTGTGTGTGTTATTTATTTATATTAAGACAATATGAGTTACCAAAGCTGCAAAATGCCACTCTGGACTGCATGTACAATCTCCACTGAACCCTTACGGGACACACCGTGTTCTCCCGTGTTTCCCCGTGGCTGCACATCTACTGAAGTTTAATTCCCACACAATAAGAGAGCCTGTGTCCACTGCACAACTAGCTTGCCTTTCCTGATACGAGGATCACGCTCAGACACAATTCAGTGCATAGTTTCTGATCCACAGACGAGAACAAAACCACCAGAAGCTTCCACGCTTTCTGTGACAATGAAGACAGTAACCACGACTGCAGTGTAGGTGTGCAACGCTCCTCTTGTCCTCCCCACCATATCGTACCCATCCCCACAACTGCCAGTTTCATCACACAAACACAAGAGACACTAAAATCTAAGGCCAGCCATGAGATCTCAGCAATTAAAACTAAGTAAGGCCACAAGATTGATTTTCTACCTGTATCTTTATCCTTCACTGCTACCACAGAGCCTGTTATTCCTGTAACAATACGAGCAGGCAGCTCTGCTGGTAATAACTGTCCATTTTCTTGGCTCTTAGCAGTTCAAGTCTGACTTGCACTCTTAGCTAGATGAGGGATGGCAGCCTTGAGAAGTGTATAGGCAGGTATGGTAAAGGTATATACATGTATTTTATATATATTGCCTTACTCTGAAGGCCATTATGTTTTTCTGTTCCAGCTGGCAGCTTTGGTGGTGCCCCAGCCAACAGGAGAAAGGGGAATTTTGAACTAATCCCTCAAAACAAGCATTTCAACTTCACAATCTTTTAAATATATGGAGTTGCTGATCAAGCCCACAACATCTTTTGGTAGAGAACACACCAAGTACAACAGCTGTCCAAGGAAAAGGAACTGCCTGTATTCTTCCACTCTCCTCCACCCCAAATCTCACTCCGCATTTCAGTTCACCTGGAATTTAATGCAGACTTAAGCAATTTTCTCCCTTAGAGAGACAAAGGGGTCAGCCAAGCAGAACTCTGTTGCCACCTCCTACACATAATTAGTCCTATGGGGCTATGACAGTAAGAACGTGTACAGACTGAATTACCTGTGTCTGGGACACATTAAAATCCGAGAGCTGCAGAACAGCAAGCACAGCATAAGGCAGCACGCTAGTGCTGTACAAAAGGTGCAGCAGAATCCTTTCCAGCTAACAAAATCTGAAACAGGAACAAGTGGTGTCATGAAAACAGCCAGAGAAGAATGCCAGACAACAGACACATCCCAAGAAACTGAGGGTCTTGAATGCTGGGCCCTGCCACACTAATGTCAGTGGGAAAGGCAAGCAGGGGCTTCTCATCTCCTCCCACTTCTGGTCATGAGCACAGCCAGGGAACATGTCAAAAGAAATACTGAAACAGCATCTGAAACTCAAGGCACAGCTAACAGGCTGCCCAGAGAAGCTGTGGCTGCTCCTCCCTGGAAGTGTTGAAGGCCAGGCTGGATGAGGCTTTGAGCAACCTGGTCTAGTGGAAGGTGTCCCTGCTGATGGCAGGGGGGTTGGAACTGGATGATCTTTAAGGTCCCTTCCAACCCTGACCATGATTCTAAAGCAACACGCCTATTTTTGACCTGACAGCACCTCTGATATAAAGCAAGATGGCTCAGTAAACTAACACATCACTGATCTGCCAGACCCACAGTTAAAGTGTCTATCTACATACACACACACACAAACACAGAGAGATGTCAATATTTCTATTAAACATAACACAAGACAACTCTTCAGGAAATCTACCCCTCATGAAGAACTCAAATTAATTATTTCAACAGCTATTGTACCTGCA